GTTTAGGGTTACATATTCAAATTCTTCTGTCCCATACAAATCGACAATATGTCGTCTCGCGAACCTCGTCTATGACAACTGTTCACTCGACGAAAATATTAAATGCATCGTTGAACGGGATGTGCATTACCAGTACTCAATATAAATGTTTTCTGATTTCAGTAAAATTTACTTTCTTACAAATATAACGTATCATGAATGGGTTCTTTCGCTTTTGGACCTCCCTGTACAAGAAGCAGAGTTGAAATATTTGGATATAATAATAAAATTCAAACCCAGGGCGTCATTAATCTTTGGTTTCATTCCTTAATATCCCTGCCTGTGAAACAGAAGAATTCAAACAATGGCACAGAAAAGTTTCAAAATGGCAAAAACCAGTCCACGGAACAATGTCGTTGCTGTAATTATGTGGGGGGTAAAAGCTGCGATCAACTATAAAAACAATCCACAATATTCCAACGTCAGAAACAATAACTAACCCGTTGAAGCCGAAGCTCGTAAAAATATTTATATAAGGATTCAGTCCGTACCGCGAAGTAAACACAACTCTTCACCATTACGAGGATCAAATGTTTAACGCTGTTTAAGGAAATGATCGCTCATTACAATGAGAATCACAGTTCGTCTGAATATTTAAGGATTCAGTCCGTACCGCGAAGTAAACACAACTCTTCACCATTACGAGGATCAAATGTTTAACGCTGTTTAAGGAAATGATCGCTCATTACAATGAGAATCACAGTTCGTCTGAATATTTAAGGATTCAGTCCGTACCGCGAAGTAAACACAACTCTTCACCATTACGAGGATCAAATGTTTAACGCTGTTTAAGGAAATGATCGCTCATTACAATGAGAATCACAGTTCGTCTGAATATTTAAGGATTCAGTCCGTACCGCGAAGTAAACACAACTCTTCACCATTACGAGGATCAAATGTTTAACGCTGTTTAAGGAAATGATCGCTCATTACAATGAGAATCACAGTTCGTCTGAATATTTAAGGATTCAGTCCGTACCGCGAAGTAAACACAACTCTTCACCATTACGAGGATCAAATGTTTAACGCTGTTTAAGGAAATGATCGCTCATTACAATGAGAATCACAGTTCGTCTGAATATTTAAGGATTCAGTCCGTACCGCGAAGTAAACACAACTCTTCACCATTACGAGGATCAAATGTTTAACGCTGTTTAAGGAAATGATCGCTCATTACAATGAGAATCACAGTTCGTCTGAATTTTGAAGTCAAAGCTCGTCTAAATATTACGTATTTAAGAATTCAGTCCGTACCGCGAAGAAAACACAACTCTTCACCATTACGAGGATCAATTTCTTAACGCTGTTTAAGGAAATAATCGCTGTTTACAAAGAGAATCATACGAAACCCATAAATACAAAATGAAGAGCTATTGATTGATAAAGAATGTGGTACATATAGTTACCATTGGGCTTTAAGAGGTCAAAATTATGACGAAATTTAGGCCACATCCGTGCAGTAATATAATAATACTGAACAAAAAAATCTTAATCTCTGTTGTTTCACCAATGGTGACATCTTTTATCGTCCGCTAAGTCAAATATCGAATGTTACTCCACTTGTCCGCGAAGCTGCAAACGAAAGATAAAGAGACGATTCAAAATGCAAACAGCAGACAGTAATAATGAAAGCTGTCGCAAAGTTTTAATCCGCAAATAAGCTTAGATCTCCGACGCATCGGATCTCAAAATACGGACCAGTGAAATGATCGCAGCATTTATAACGTATCTATAAATTAAACCTTCCTGTGCTGAAATATTTTTCCCCCGGAAATATATCCTTGTACACGTTTTCATATTAACATATCACGTGATACAAAATAACAGAAATAAAAAAATGACAAAAAATGAGAGGATTAACGAATTTTGAACGAAACTCAAATGCATTTGTGCATAACAAGATTTATTCAGTTCGAGCGATTCGTTATAAAGAAAATATTTTCATTCTGAATTTACAATTGTTTGCATCTGTTCTTTGAAGACAACGGTAAATTCTAGGAAAAAATATTTTTCTACGTAACGAATCAACCGAACTGAACAAATCCTTTTGTGTACAAATTTAGTAATTGAATAAAATTTTTCTTGGATATTATCCATCGTCTAGTAAATATAAAACGTAAAACGACGTTTCGGAGATGGGACTCTATCTCCGTCTTCAGGTTC